AAAAAAAAGAGATAAAGAAAAATAACTCAGATAAAATAAATATAATTATTCTAAATTTGAATATGTTTGTAACAATTAAAGTATGATTTCCTATAAATGTACTTTCACGAACAATATCTCGATTTCAAACAATTTTAGTAACACATAAGTTAATTAACATTAAAGATATAATTAATACACTCTTGTTATTGATTCAGATAATAATTCTGACTAGTAGGTTTATTAAGTTGAATGACGCAATAATTGGTCATGGACTGTTCTTAACTATGAAATATGGAAAATTTTTTTTCATTTAATTAATTTGACTCCTTGAAATAAAGAGTTATTAGAACTGAGTATACATATGCCTGAATAACAGATATTGAAATTTCGAGAACAAGTAATGTATTCTGAACTAGCAATCTCAATGGCATTAGGTAGATAAATTTTATTATAAAATTACTCAGAAGAATTAGGATTTAGATGCCCTGCAATTAAATTAGATGACAGCCGAATTGCTAGAGTCATTGGACGGATTAAGTATCTAATCAATTCAATAATTACTATAAAGTTTATAAGTGGTTTAGGTGAATTGTATGGAACTAGATGAGACATAAATTTTAAGTAATTACTATAAATTGAAAAAATAAGTATACCTATTAATACAGACAATGAAATAGAAAGATTAAAAATCAAATGTCTGGTGGACGGAAATACATAAGGAAGCAGACTAAAGAAATTTAGTAGTATCAGGTAAAATATTATTCCAGTAAAAATTAATACATTAGAAAAAAGATTTTTTGATCCAACTGATACAGAAAAATTCATTGTATACTATATTCAATAACAAGTTTATAATTATTATTGATCGTGAAGGAATAAGCCAATATCTATTGCATAGAAAAATGATTGGAACTAGAACAAATATTCAATTAAACTGAAATTCGAATATATAGTAAATTGAAGGATCAAATCTTTCAAACAAACCTGTTAAAATAACTATTTTCATTTAGTTATGAAATCATTGTGATCTCTTTTGTCAAATTTAATAATTTTAACATTCTTGATCTTAATAGTGCTAGATGATCCAATTAATAGAATTACAATAAGCAGTACAAATAGATTTAATGTAAAAATCATTACTCAATAAATAGGTATTATCTGTGGACTATAAAATTAATTGTATAAATTTACTTTAAAATGACATTTTA